TTATGCCAACGATTAACTTGATCTACTTTGTTTGTTAGAGTTTTGTCTTCTTCACTTGCTTGTTCACTTTGTTTACGAATTATTGGACGAATATATCTATTTATGGAATGAAATAAATAAATTTAATATCTGATTAACTAAGACTTCTGGAAGCCCATGAAGGATTACTAATTATACTGATCTAAGATGAAATCTTTTGCCCATTCTTGTCTGTGCCCATTCATCATTTTTAAATAGAGATGGAAAGAAGAAAATGGAAGAAGGGATTTTTAGGTGAGTACCAAAATAGAAAACAAGGAAAAGGGGAGGCAAAGGGGGGAAATTTACAAACAGAGCGAAGTAATTCTGAGGAAAACCAGTATAATCATAGTTAATTATGATTACATTATATGTATATCGTCTCTTGAGAACCCATTTTAGAGAAGCTAGCTCATTTAAATATATACAGTAATTTTTTAAAATTTAGTACAAACCTGGCAGCTTTTCGTCCACTAACAATGCACTCCTCATATGAGAGATTTCGTAAAAGGCGGGGTAACAAACGGCATAAGGCGTTGAGAGTGTTTTCTTAAAAGTTGTTCGTTTAAACAAAATTTTCTTAATTTTGGTAAGAGAGCTGGAAAGTTAGCTTCGTAATGCATGATCCAGTGATATCCCTTCTTTCTTGAATTTTAATTATTTAATTAAGAGGTGGATACTAGTTGGATATTGTATTTTTATCATGCCATACGAAAGACTAAACATATTGTGAATTATGGGATTCTTCATTACGAGATTATATTTCTCTATCTGACAAAAGTTGATTCTCTTAAATTTCGGAATTCAGCAATATCGCGCTCTGCGGATTTTTTGGCAAAAAAATTTCCCGTGGACTGAAAAATAAATTTTCTTAAAAAAATTTATTTATTACTGTAAAGTTGGTGTATAGTTAGAGAATCTATCGAAGAAGCAGATTGTTCTGTTCTCTTTTCTGGCCCAATAAATTGAGGTAATGGAGGTGAAGGAGGAAATGTTGGATGAAGTAATGGCCACCAAGGTTTTTTGAGAGATGGTAGTTTGTGCTTTTGTCGTTGATTATATGGAGGTGATAGCTGATGAGAAGAATAACCTGAATATTTTGAAGGAAATGAAGATTTAGAAGAAATTGGTGAATGAAAAACAAGGTTTGATTTTAAATTTGGATAGAAAGGTTTTGTTGTTTTTATGTTGACTGGACCTTCAGGAACTGACTTGATAAATAAGAAAACAATGTTTATACGAAATTAATTGAAAACGCCTCCTTATAAGCTTAAAATACTCGTCAATATTTAAAAATTACCCCAATTTTGTTCCAAAACACACTTGAATTTTGTTTATTACAATTAGTAGGTCTACTGTCACCATTTAACTTTAATTTGTAATAAGGTAAACGGTCCTTCCATTTTCCAGAATAATTCGAATTAATAATTTTTAATTGAAAACAGAATGAGAAAACAAGGAAAAAATTAAAAAATAAATAAAAATTCATTTGAAAATAAATATTTTTTTGTTAAATTTTAGAAAATTTTGTTTATTTTTAATGAATTTTCTACGTCTTTAATTTTTTTTAATAATTGCAATATTATAAATATGTACATATAACTGACCGCAGTTATTTGCCCTCACATTAAACTTTCTCGGAGTTTTTTAATAATAAAATAAATATATTTGTTAAATCAACGCGTATTGCGCGAATCCCTCACATAAATTTAATAAAAATCCAAAAATGTCCAAAAGACTGAAAAGGGGTAAATAATATGAAAATTATTTTTAATTAAAAAAAAATCACAAAATCGAGTTGAGATTTCAGAGGGGCATTTTACATAAAACATTTTTTGTCTCACTAGCGGCGTACAATGCTCATTAGAAATCTCAACTCGAATTGCAATATAATTTAATATTTTTTTAAATTTTATTTTAAATCGAAAAAGATTGCCGAGAGGTTTGAAAGGCCAGTGTGGACAGATCCCCCTTAGATTTAAATAAGGGTATATACGGCATACTGACACAGCAAACCTCACGGCAAAACTTGATCTTTTAAGAAAGTTTGTTTGAAAATAATTGTTTTTGTTTAGAAAATGTTGATAAATTTATTTTAAGAATTGTTATAACGATTTTATTACAAATAAAATACAAGAGAATGAGGAATAGGAAGCTGAAGAAAATGCTTAATAAATGAAAAATGAGGAAAATGGATGAATTATACGTACAAAAATGGAAAAAAGAGGGCACGGGAATGAATAAACCTTTTTTAAAGAAAACTCGGAAAGACGCAAAAAACGGCTGATGAAAATTGTTGCAAAACTTTTTCAACAAAATAACGAAAAGTAGCGGGCGTTGATTTTTTAGAGAAGAAATGCTTAAAATAGAAAAATATGAGAGAGAAAAGGTTTAGATGGAAAGGTTTATTTTTATTTGTAAAGTGCAAAATGCCTAAATGAACAATTCCTTTTTAGATGTCTTTTTTAGATGATTGTCTTTCTCGATCAAAAAATAAAGGAGAATATATATCATTCTCGATGGGTGACTCGACAATCAAAAAGAAGGAGAGGGAAAGAACCGTTGAATAATAAAAATGCCAAAAATACAATTATTTTATGAATAATTTTGTATGTGTTTTGTGTCATCCCTAAATTTAATGTAAAGTAATGGATTTATTAATTACTAAATTGTTTATGTAAAATTATTGGATTTAGAAAAAATAAATAAAATTCTTTTATAATCTTTTTTAAAAAGAAAAACAATTAGCAAGAGTAGATTGGGATAACTTGCTTATTTTTGGTTTATAAATAATACAAATAATTTTCTTCTACTTTAAGGCCTCGTCATTTTATAGGAATAGGGAAGCTACTCGAAGAAAATATTTTCCTAAATTAATATTTAACGTACTGAAAAATCCTTTTTTTGATTGCCTATCTAAACCCCAATATTAAATTTAAAGGATTCAAAAAACATATACCTAATATATTTACATTCAATATAAACAGGAATATACTTATAACACATACAAATAACATACAATATACACACATATACAACAATCTACTATATCAATTATGGATGACTCAATCACTTCTTATCTTTCTTTTCCTTCTTTTTCGTCACCGATGAATCCGATCCGCTCGAATTTGATGCAGTCGAAGTGTTTGCAGCCAATTTTTCCGAAGTAGACTGAGTTTTCCCAACAGAATCCTGTGTCGACACATCAGAAGCTGTTTTCTCTTTCGCCTCATCTTTTGGCTTTTCAGGACTAGCAGACTTATCAGGCGAGGGTTTCTCATCTTTCTTAGGCGAGGTCGACTTCTCTGGAGAGGTTGGTTTTTCTTCCTTAGCCTTTAATTCTTTTTCCGGGGAGGGTTTTGAACCATTCTGCGGCTTTAGCGGTGTTGCATTTGGTGGAGGAGCCACTGGAGGTGGTGTAACTCTTAAATATTAAAAAGAAAATTTAAAAAAATCCTAATTTTCACACTTTTTCGTTGGTGGAAACTGGAAAAACATGCACCGCAAAGAAGCCTCGACCATCATTACCGCTCCAGCATTGTCGAACTAAAAAATAGAGAATTTTCCTATTTTAATTACTTTGCTCACTTGTCCAGCATAGTTTGGAGCTGAGAAGATTGTGACTAATTTTTGAGTTCCATTGATCTCGTACCCATCCTGAACGACTTGGTGAGCACGAACGACCATATCGATATCTAGCAAAGCGGTCAATTGAAGAATGACGTCGTCGCCAAACAGATAACTGCAACCTCTAAAATTAAAAAAAGTGGAGGGATTGAGCGTTTATTTTGTGCAGTCTCACCTTGGACTTGTTTGCCACCCTTTGATTCGCGGGTCTGGATCGGCCCTAAAACAAAAATGTCATTAGAGATTTAATGAGTTAGTCTAACCAAAGCAAATCCATGGTAATACCCCGGTTGTTTGGCGGATCGTACCATCCTCTGGGAATCTGCCTCAGTTGATCGAGGGATGTAAGATCTGGAGAAAGCCCACCATGCATGCAGAGAATTCGGCCTGAAAATATGAAGAAACTGAAGAAAAGCAATAGAATACACCTCCGACCAATCCAGCAATGGGCATTTGAGAGAATGCAATGTTGAAGATGCCCCACATCCCATTTAGATCGTTTCTAGGATCCCCGTAGCGCCTTGCAATTTCCTGCCGAAAGCCGTATATTGCGTTGGTGACTGATGTCTCATGATTGCCGCGGAGTAGATAGAAATTTCGAGGATATTTGATCTTGTAGCAGAAAAGAAGAGCAATCGTCTCCAAATTGTGCGAGCCTCGATCAACATAATCTATTGAAAATTGGGAGATTTTTAAAAATATTAGAACGGTCCTTTGTACCTCCCAAAAACAAGTAGCTGGTTGCCGGTGGATATCCAAGAGTATCGAAGATGCGTAACAAGTCGCTGTATTGTCCGTGAATATCGCCACAGATGATGACAGGAGGTTGAACTTCAACAAGCATCGGCTGAGTCTGGAACACAATTTGTGCCATTCTAAGCAGTGCAAGCATCTCATCAGCGGGAACCTGCAATTTATCAAAAATATACAAAATAAGAATTGGGATAAAATGCAGATACTTACGGTCTCCACAATGTTGACATTCCGGCGATCATGAAGTCGGAGGAGCAAAGCGTCGACGTCAACGTCCATTTGGTGAAACAGCAAAAAGCAAACAAATGTCGATACAAAATGTCTTGTGTAGTAAAGTTTGATTGTTCATGATTGAGGCCTTTTGTAGTAAATTTTTGGGTAAAACAGACCTTTAACTAGAAATATTTACCTAACTATACAGTAATTTTTTGCGTTAGACAAATTTACTAAAAGTGGAATTATTGTCATTGTGTTGGCATTTTGTTTAAAAAATATTTTTCTTCGTTTAGAGTCTAGTCAAGTTTATTCTGAATTTCTTAATTTTTTGTTTTGATTTAACTTTCTTGTATTTCAGTGACTTTCATTGTAAATTTTTATCTACGATGGGAAAGCGTTCTGGAATCACAAAAGGTGGGAGGATGATGAATCCGGCTGATAGAGAACGTAAACAGATGCGTGCCAAAGAACTTAAACGAAACAAAAAGCAAAGAAATGCTGTAAGGCAAGCAATGGTTAAAAGTCGTGATCCTGACGAATTAATTGAACAAATGAGCCGTTTAGATGAACAAGGTTTTTTCTTTAATGTTGAAATTTTTTTAAATTTTTAATTAAAGAATTTGACCCACAACGTGTACTTTCCCTTAATGTTATTCAAGAAAAAAGAAATAAACTTCGTGCATCTTATTTTCAAATAATTAATTTATGTCGTCAAGAGAAAGAAGAGAAGAAAGTGAAAAATTTGGAGCGGATGCTTTATGAATATGAAGTTGAACGTGCTCGAAAAGAAGAAAATTTTCGTGAGAATTTTATAATAATTTAAAATGAAAGTTTATTTTTTAGGGGCAATGCTTTTCTCGCAAAGTGAAAATTTTGAAGAAATTCCTCTTCCGACTGGTGCCAGTGCCCCTGATGCAGCTAATACACCTTATTCTGTTAATTCTATACATGGAATTGGATTTGGGCCTCAAATGCCTCAATCAGCGATGAAAGTTGGAATTTTGAAAAAGCCGGTTTCTAATGCTGTTAAAAAGAAGCATAAATATCCACCAGGTTTTTCATTAAGATTTTTTTAAACTTTCAACGTTATTTATATTCTAGGCTTCAGACTACTTTGTTATTGTTAGGAAATAATTTTTAATTTTATAAAGGACCTCCGCCTGGTTTGCCACCCCATCTATACGCTAGTGAGGATGAGGAGGAAGAGGAATATGATGAAGAAGAAGAGAGTTATAGAGAAGAAGGAAGGAGGAGAAGAAGAGTCAGATTTGGAAATCGGCCACTTAAGGACGCTTTTGATGAAGCTGCTGAACATGTTGATGGGGATGAAAATTATGAAGATGAAGATTATGCACCTGTTGAGAGTATGTTTTTATTTATAATAAAGATGTCATTATACATTAAGGGCGTAGCTGTTGTATCTATTTCAGGGGGCTAAAATTGGGTGTGCGCCAAAATTTCAGCGTTTACTTCGGCATTTCTAACGTTTATTTTTTTAACCTGAAGCCTTCCTCCTGGCTACGCTTTTGTTAAACATACTAATAGAGGATCAGCTACTTTTCCAGAAATTCGTTTTAATTTTGACTTTAATATTTTGCCCTTCATTCTGAATTTTCGAATATTCTATTTTACAAATAAAAATAAATATTTTATAATCCATTTAAATTTTATTAAATAATAATTTTCAAGAATGCAAATATTAATTTACAAATAATTATTAATTAATTACAAATCCTTATTTTTCAATTTCCTATATTTTAAATTTAAATATATTTTTAAATTTAAGTTCCCGAGAGTATGTTATCTTCCGAAGAACCTCCTATGCAGCATCAACAACCAATCTATTCTCGTTCTGCCCCTTCTTTGGCTGCACCTGCTATCGGTACAGGGCCAATTATGCCTGGAATGGCTCTTCCACCTCATTCAAATTATCCGCCAGGTTTTGCAGATTTAATAAAAATTTATCTTTCCCCATTCAATATTTAATTTTGTAGGTTATCCAATAATGATTCCGTCTCATGGAATGCGTGAAGTTGTGGTGAGGCCACAACATGGGCGTCATTCTCAACATCAATCTTCACAACAATCAAAAACTGGACTTGTTAGTGGATATTCTGATGCTGCTGTTATTTCCGCGGAGCCGCAAGTATTTTTTTGAATTTTTAAAATTAGTAATTTAGGGCTTGAGACTTTGAATTTGGTTTTTCCCTTTTCGATATAAAATTTTGGAAAAATCCATTTGCTGAACGTTAGTATGCCACTAAAAATTAATAAAAATATTGAAAACTAATTTTAAACTTTTTAATTTTTAGGTAGTTAAACATAAAACGGATGCTCCTCCATCTAATGTAGAAACAACAATCACTGCTGGCCCTCAAATGCGAAATGTAACGAAAGAAACAACTCGTTTTGTACCTACAGCAGTAAAAATTCAACGTCCCGTTGTTCCAACAGTGATTGGACCAAAAATTCCAACATCCTCTGTTGCTGGACCTACAAAACTTTTGCCAAGATCTTCGCAAATAAAACCTACTCAAAAACAAACGACGGCAGTAAATTCTGCCATAGATGCAACAAAATCTGTGGATGAAGCTTGTGATGATTTTTTGAAGGAATTGGAGGGATTACTTTGAAAATTTTAAAAAATTAAAAAAATATAAAATTTTTGTTTTTTTGTGGTTTGAGCGCCCATGGTGTTAAAGATGTCTAGGAAATTTTAATAGGTTCAGTTCTTTATAAAGTTTGTTACTTTTCCGTTATACGACCGCAAACTGATGTGAGTCCAGCTGATCACCCATTAAAGTGTTATTTCCTGATAAATGTGAAAAACACTAAATGACTTATTGTTTATAACTTATCGGTTTATAACTTTTTAATGAGTTATCAGAATTGATCTATCCTATTAGAAAAAGATACAGCCTATCAAGGGCTTTCGAATGAATATAAAATTCATTTGTATTGGATCAATCATAAAAAAGTTATAGCCGAGTCGGCTGGACACAGTTTATGGTCGTATAATGGAAAAGTACCTAAAGTTTTTCGAGACTTTCATTTTTCTAATCTTCTTTAATGCCTATATATTTATTTGATTAAATTTATTTTATTTAAAATGTTTACTTTTTTATTTGTTTTTACTCCAAAACTTTCCTAGCGCTTTAAATTAAATTTTGTAAATGTTAGCGCAATGTGCGCGAAATGGGGCGAATTAAAATGTTTTTAACTGCTAGCAACCTCTTTCCTCCTTTTCCTGGTCTCGTGGACACAAAATGTGAAAGGTAAATAAACAGTTGGTAGACCATTTGAAAGGGTTTTTAGATTGATTTTGTGTGCTTTTTAAAAATTCAAGAAAATTTATTAAAAAAAGTCAAAATAAAATGAAGAAATTTAAGCTCATGATATGTACAATTTCTTTTTTTCCTTGTATTTTAAAAGTTAATGCTAAATTTTAACAGAAAAACATTTTTGTAAAATATTTTGTTGAAAATTGTTTAATTTAAAATTGCAAAGACCTAATTTTCCCTTTGATCTATTAAATTTGTTCAGGAAGACGAAACAATATTTGATATTCAGGAATAATTTTTGGAACTATTCAGAATGTCATTAATTATTAACTTAGTATATCCTTAGACTTTTTTTTCACTCTATTTGCAAAATTATTTCTTTGAATAATTTATGTATGTAAGTATTCAAAAGATTATATAGTTGTTAATTTTCAAAAAGAAATTTCTTTCCTTTCCCTCCTTTTTAAATAATAGAGTTAACTGATTATTTGTAAATACATAATATAGTTAAAGCATTATTCTTGTCAAATGCTTAACAAAAGAAATATATTTTCTTTTACATTTAAAACTTTTTCAAAAATAATTTTTTATGTCTTTGTTGTTGTCGGCGTATTATTGTTGGTTTTTCACCTTTTTCGTCTTTTATCTTTGAACGACGAACACATTAAATATTATTATTTTTGTATTAACTAAACTCCCTCAATTTCATTTTAACACCTAAAAAATTTTTTTATTTGAAAAGATTTAAAGAAAAAATTTTTGAAGTGGAGAATTACTATACATTTCCGGGCAAAAAATTTATAATTGAAAAAAATATTTTTTAGATGTTAAAAACCTCTTCTGATTTAAAAATAAAAAGAATGTCCCCGTCTTGTTTTTAAAAAAAAGTGATGGGATGTTAAAAATAAATATATTTTTTTAAGTTTAATAATTTATTAAATATTTTTAAACTAAATTGCGAATTTTTATTTTTACTTTTTTTTTTAAAAATAAGAAAATTATTTTTGATAACAAATTCTATTTTTAAAATTAAAATTGCTTTAATTAAGGAGGGAAGTGTTAAAATAAATATTTGTATTTTGATTATACACCTACAATAATTATATTTATTTATTTGACATTTACCTAAATGTTGCCTAATTTAGAAAAAGATAAGAATCAAAAAATGTTACTTTTTCTGTTTTATAATATACTACATAAATTATCAAAAATAATATTTCAATTTTTACAGTATTTCTGATATCTCAATATTTATAAACAACATTAAACTTTGTCTAGAAACTAGAGTTCGATCGAAATTCCGATTTCAGACGTTTTTTCCTTCAGTTTTCCGACTTGCGTTTTCCAAAAATTTAGGCTGATTTCCTACTTTTGAGCTATTTCCGATTTCCGAAAGTTCCGATTTCCGGCACCTTCGTCATTTCCGATCGACCTCTGGTAGAAACTAACAAGAATTAAATAAATTTAAAATATCTACATATTAGACAATCTGTCTTTCCATAACGATTTTTTTCTTTCAAAAAAATTATTCACTCAATCCCCTTTCCACCCTCAAATCCTCTCTGCGCATTTTCTCTTTTCATTGTTAAATAGCATTAATGCCATTATTTTTTTTTTGTTCAAAAATACTTTGGATCCTTTTTTTATTCCAGAAATTTTTGGGAGTTTTTAACGAAGGTTTTAATGAAAAATTGGTAAATAAATAAAAATATCCAAACAAAAAAAGTATTTAAATACATTCATTTTTGAACTTAAAAATAAAAAAGCGGTAGAGCGTAACGTTTAATATATTTCCTCATTTATTTTTAAATTCCCATCATTTTATTCTCACAAATTTTTTAATTGAAAAATATATTTTCCAATAATTTTTAATTTTATTTATTTTATTTGGAATATTTTTATACCATAAATTTAATTCCAGTATAATTCCCTTCCTTAAACTTTCCATTAGATTTGGGTCCATTTTATCGAAACCGTATGAGATTTCTGGCAATGTCCGTCTTTTTAGTTATCGGTGAAGATGAGCGGGATTCCTCTTTTTTTAATAAAATTCTGCAAGACATCTGAGACTGATAGTTAATTGGCTTTATGCCAAACGATTTGTCTTATCACAGTGTCAGAATAACAGGAGTCTAATCTTCCTTTTTTACTATTTTTTGAAAAAGTGATTAGTTTTTTTGATAAAAATAGGTCCGAACATTCATTAATTAATAATTTAATTTTTTATGAATATAGATTTCAAATATTTACTTTGACATTTTCTTCTATTTTTCTTCAATAATTAAAAAGTAGAGAAAAGTTCAAGTCTCTTTTCTTTGCGGTGCCAAAATGGCGACCGCTTCTGCAACTGATCAAGAAAAGAAAGAAAATAAGGAAGAAGAAAAGAAAGAAGAAATTAAATTAATCGAAAATAAAATTAAAGAAAATGAAAAAGAAAAAATTGAAAAAAATGAAAAAGAAGGAAAAGAAGAAAATGATTCTGAACCAGAAATTATTAATTCTAAAAGAGATTTTTATGTAAGTACAACAGAATTAGAAACAGAAGACAGTACTGATATAGATATACCTAAAAAGAAATTTGAGAAAATAATTAAAAATAATTCAACCCCTCCTTTATCTAAATCAAATACAGCAACAGATTTAACTCTTTCAATGTCACAAATTATTGCTGCAAAGGAGGCTAAAAAGGTGACTTTTTTAAAGGTAAATAAATAGTTTATTTATCTTCACAATTTTGTATTGCTTTCTTAATTAGGGCTTGAATTCACCTTAATAAATTTTATTAAATATTATTTTATTTTTTACTGGACAAATAATAAAATTACAAATTATAACAAATTTATTATTTTTATTATTTTAGCGACAACAAAATTCTGTAATGGGACGTTCAATTTCTGAAATATTGCGAGCAAAATTAGCAGAATTGCCAGTCAGAGAAGAGGGCAACTTTACTCTGGGTGGGAGATTTGAATAAATAAATAAATAAAAATATTTTTTAAAAATTAATTTTTGATTTTTATTCGTCAAATACTTGATGGGAGGGTAATTTTTGTGTTTAGAGACTATTTTTTAAAAATTATTTTGGAGAATGTGGTTGGTGGCTTTTTTAGCAAGTATTTTTTAGATTAAAATAAATAAATATAAATATTTTAAACATTTCATAATTTCAACTTTTTATGATTCTTAGCGACAACCTTTCTCGATATACGAAAAATAAACTTTTTTCAATTAATTAACATTTTTCTACTTATTTCTTAGAATATACTAATTAATTATCAACCTACTTATATTAAATAATATTTAATTAATAATTAATCACAGATTTTTAATTACCTAATTTTAATTAATTAATCATTTTTTAAATAAACTTTTTTAATTTATTAATACTCTAAACAAATATTTTATTTATTTTAAACTGCGCAGTCTTTCCATCCCTCCCCCTTCACCATTTTTCTAAAAATAATTTATTTTTATTTAATCTTTTTCAATTATCTTTAACCCAAAATATTCTTTTATTTTTTAAACTATTTTCGGTAAAAATTAATTTGATGAATCGATGAAACAAAGATCGTTAATTGTTATTTTTATTTTGATATTATTCCAAAACAAGAGAAGATTATTCTTAATTAATTTTGATATTAAATAAGTTTTCCGTGTCTCGATATTAAAAGTATTTTTGTATTTGCTTCTAAACACGTGGAAATCATATTAAGAATGTTAATATATTTTCTGTGGTTTCCCCCAAAATTCTCTAGACTTTCCCAATTTTCTGTCACCTTTTAATCCTTAACATTCCTGTTACCCCATCTAATCTTTCCATCATTTTGCAAAAAATAACATTAACATACATAATCCTAAGCTATACTTAGACTCAATACAAATATTCTCTTAATTTTCTATTAACCAATTACGGGCCCATTTTATAATCAAACACAAAGATTTAAATGTCTGTTTTCGACTTCCTCAATGTTATTTTTACAAAATTTTTAGAATTCAGAATTGTGGGTAGCTTTCAATAATTATTATATATTATTACCAAATTAAAAGTTTTCTATCAAATTTATTTTATTTTTCTTTAAAAAAATATTTTTAAAAAACTCTAGAATTTCTCAATTTTACATAAAAAATTCTCAAAATATATTTTCTCTATAAAATCATCAATCACCAAAATATTTTAATTATTTTATTTTTAATTTTAAAATATTTTATTTTTTATCTCTCCCCAATAATTAATATTCTTCAAAGAGCAGCTGTAAATATATTTTAAATAATTTTTATTAATTTTTTATTGCTGTCAATTAAATTTATTTAAAAATTATTATTCCAATAAATTTTAAAATTTAATGATTTTTGAATTCCATCCAGAAAAAAATAATAAAAATTTATTTTCTGATATTAATTTTAATTTTTGATAATATTATTAGAAAATATTTTTTAAATTAGTTCCTAAAGCTTTTCTGAACATATTCTTAAATTAAAATTTATTCCAAATATATTTCTATGGTTTAAATTAGGGTAGAACCCCGAGCCTTCGGGGCCGGGTGTGTCGGGGATCGGTGTTTGCCGGGGAGGGCATGTCGGAGTGTTTGTCAAAAAACCCGTCGGGTCGGGGTTTCGGGGGACGGAATGCTACCCTAGTTTAAATAATTCTAAAAAATTGGAGACATCTATGTTTTCTCAAAATACCTGTTCATTTTTAAAGAAAAATTTTCCTCTTGCTTGATTCGTTTCTTTTATTTTTATTTTCCTTAAATTATTTTTTTAAATTTTATCTAAAATATTTTATCTGAAAAATATTTTTTTGAGCAACAAAATAGCTCAAAAAATATTTTTAAAAAAACTTCCTCCCTTTCCTTCCTTTGTTTTAACACATTCTTCTCATTCCAAAATTCATATATATTTTTCACATAATAATATCATCATTCCTTATATTTTTTAACAGTCAATCAGACGGCCTTTAATTAAAAAAAAGGTCCCGATCATTAAAAAAACTTCCCAAAAATTATTATTTATTTATTTATTGATAAGCGACAATTAAAAGACAAAGAACTAAAAAAGAATCTCTTTTACAGCTCAGAAAATTAAAATTAAATAAATTTATTTTAAAAACAACTATAAAATAAAAATAATTATGGAATTAACTAAAAATGAGGAAAAAAAGCCGCCGCCACTCGTTGAAATATTTTTGGACCCAAATTCTTTGGATTCCCTATCAAATTCTTTATCCTCAACAACAACCTCAAAAAACTTTTTTTCAACAGGATTTTCAAAAGTTTTCCACACAAGGACTCGTTTTTTGATGATGATACTTTGTTTGTTGTGTTTAGCCTCTGTTTGGTCAAATATTTTGTGTTTTAATTTTGCTTTAATTTGTATTGACCATGCTGAGGGGATTGAGATGGAAGCTGTGGAACAACAACAACAAATAAATGGAAGTGATGGAAGTATGTCACTATTGGAGAGTGTAACTGAAAATGAAAGTTTTGGGTAAATATCTGAATTTGAATTTTAATTATTTTAATTATTTTAAAGAACAAATTCTTCTTTTTCTACTTTGGACAACAATAATTCGACACTTAATAATAACAGCAAAACACCACCAAGACTACACTTTACTGCTAGACAACGAATTTTTCTTACGTCAACAGTTGCATTGGCTGCTTTAATTTCCAACTTTGCTGTTGTCTCTTTGGTAAATAAAAAGATTTTTGGCATTTGTTTGTTAAACTTTCCTTAGTGAAGACTTCCTCTGTTCTATCAAGTCCCTAGATCTACAATTTGGCTAATGTGAAGGGTGTTTCGGTAATAGTCTCGTTTCCCAGCCCCATTTTTTCCTCCCAATTTTCTACCCTATGTTTGTACGGAATGGTCAAATTTTCCCCTTTCTTTCATCAAATTTGCCTTTCCATATTTTGCCTAAAAACAATCAAAAAGATTAATTTGTGATATTTAAAAAAGTATTAGAGTAATGAGAAGAATCATTTTCCCAATTAATAAAAATGGAAGAACTAAAGAATTTCAAACCTATTGATTTATATGAAAAATTACGTTTGAGTGATAATGATTTCGATGCATGGCTTGAGAAGCTTGGACTTCTTCATGGAAAGAGAACTTGCTACAATTTCTGTGGCGAAAACGATTTGGCAATATTGAAAATGTTTTTTATAATTTTTGGCATCATGTCTCACTTTTTTATCCTTGTGAAAGAAATGAATAAAAAATTAATCTTTTTGATTGTTTTTAGGCAAAATATGGAAAGGCAAATTTGATGAAAGAAAGGGGAAAATTTGACCATTCCGTACAAACATAGGGTAGAAAATTGGGAGGAAAAAATGGGGCTGGGAAACGAGACTATTACCGGTGTTTCCTTGATAATAAATTATATCTTGATAGCTCTTATTTGGGGGGATATTCCCTTCTATAGAAAGGATATCATCCTCTCCCTTCTATTTTTAAATTATTTTTCCGTTAAGGTAAACCATTGTGGAATCAGAACAGTTTTTGCATGCTTGGGAATGCTTTCAGCTTTATCCACTTGTCTTTTGCCAGCTGCTATTGAACTTGGGTTTTACTATGTTTTAGCCTGTCGATTTCTTCAAGGTGTTGATTAAATTTATTTTTTAAATGCATTCAAAATTAAAAAAAAAATTCCAAGGAATTGCATTTTCCGCCAACTTTCCAGTTATTGGTAAAAATCCAAAAAAATATTTTGAAATTTTCTAATAATTTTTAAAGGCTCATTCACTTCAAAATGGACATATTATAAACAAAACGGCCTTTTCGTTTCTGCCTTAGTTGCCTATGTTCAATTAGCACCAGCAATTACTGTAAAATAATTAAAAATATTTTTAATAAAAATTCTGTTAATTTATTTATTTAGATGCCAGTAAGCGGTGCTCTTTGTGAATTACTTGGTTGGCCTTCAGTTTTCTTTGCGCATGGTGGTGCTTGTTCTATTCTTTTCTCCCTATGGGCCTTATTTTTTAGAAATAGCCCAAGTAATATTTTTAGTTTCATGTTGTTTTAATAATCAAGATTTTGATTAATTAAATTTTTTATTAAAATTTATCCACCTATTAGAACTTGCAAGAATTTTAATAGTCATACTATTAGCAAAAAATATCGTTTATTATTAGAGGGTCTTACAAAGAAGAAGCTGTGGAGGTGTCTGTGAGGCTTCGGGATGAAATTTGGTAGACAGGTAGATCACCCCACAGCCTCTCCTTTCTTAGAAGATTAACAAATAAAAGTTTAAAATATACCTAACAATTTTGTACATAAAATATAATTATTAAAGTAATAAATTAATTTTCTGGTATTTTAAGATTTTTTAAATTATTAAATTCTAACATGAAAAAATTAATTAAAGATAAACATCCATTTGTTGGAGAAGTAGAACTTCGAAAAATAGCAGTTGGCAAAACAGAATTAAATAAAGAACTTCAAAAGAAAATTCCTATTCGCGAAATTTTACGTACAGCTTCAGTTTGGGCTGTCTGGATTGCGGCAATTGGAAATTTTGTTTGTGTTAATATGGTGAAAATAAATAAAAAATAATTTTTTAAAAGAAAAATGTTTCTTTAGATGTTCCTTTATTCTCCAAGTTATTTAAATGTAGTTCTTCGCTTTCCTGTGGCACATACTGGATTTTCAGCTTCATTAGCACCTTTAGCCCAATTTTGTATTAAATTACTTGCTGGGTTTACTAGTGATAAGGTAAGGAGTTTTTTTGGTAATTATTTGGCATTCTCCTTTCGTTTTTCCCTTAGTTATTAATGGAGCTAGAGAGAAATCAAAATTTAGCATTTCTGAGTGATTTTATTTAAATTTTAAGTGGAGCCCGGCTAAAATAAAATATTTGATTATTCAACATCAACTTTGGTCCGGGCTCAACCTTAAGTGCCAAGGGTATACCAAGGAAATTTTTTCGTAGTTCTAAACTGAAAAGACCAAGTTAACCTCAAATCCCAAATTATACAAATTTAATTAATTTTATTACCTCCACTGGATCCTTCCTCCATATTTTCTCAATCCTCTATTAAATTCCATTAAACTATAATTTTAAAAATGTATTTTTTTTAAAAGATTCGATTCTTGTCTGAAACAAATAAATTACGTCTTTACAATTCAATTGCATTTTTTGGTTCTGGTCTTTTCCTTTCAATGCTAGCTTTCTTCCCTACAGACCAACCAACTTTATGTCTAGTTTTATTAGGAATTTCAGCTGGATTGCTTGGATTTACAACTGGGGGATTTTTTAAAACTGGGCCTTTGGTAAAGAATTTTTTAAAAAAGAAAATTTTATTTTTCCCTTTTAAGGTAGCAAAACATTATGCACTTGTGGTTATGGGACAAATTTCTTTGGGTAAAGAGATTAATTAATTAAATAATAAAATAGACTCTGTTTTAGCAATTACAATAACCCTTCTACTAGTTCCAATTATGCAAAACACGTTGGCACCACATAACAAGGCTGAAGAATGGCGGTAAATTTTGAGTTTATGTAACTTGAATTGGGAAAGGAATAAAATATCTCTAAAATTACTTGGTCAATTCTCGTTAGTATAGTCCCCATTAATTGTGACGATTTCTGTTCCAGTATAAGTTCTAATAGGTGGTAGAAAGCAATTTACCTAATAGGTTCTTTAATTTCTTTTTATGTTTCGAAGGGGTAATTTAACAGGAGGGAATTAAAATAAAGGTTAAAATTAATTTTAAAATTTTCTAGTTACGTTTTTCTATTAACTGCTGCAGTTTTAACAATTTCAAATTTGGCTTTTTGTTTAATGTGTTCAGCAGAACCAGCACATTGGACAACTGACGAATTTTCGAGAAATGCATCTAGAAGTAAAATTCATACAATTGAGGAATCAATAGACCAAAATGGGCAATCAAAGTGGAATAATAATTAAATAGATAGAGTAATATTATTTAATTTTTTTGCATTTTCTTTTTTAATTCTCAAAAAATTGGCTTTAATTCCCTTTAAATTTATTTTAAGTCGAAACTCGATTTTTAAGAATTTTTTATAAGGAGAGATTTTGGTAATTCCAAGGCTGGTCCCCCCCCCTTTTTTTTACGGTTCCCCTGACCATTTTGAGCTTTTTTGCTTGGCATATAATTTTCAATATATCATTCGAAAGAGCTGTTCGAGCTGAGTAGAATGATACTATGATCGTTAGATTTGGCGAATCTGAACAGATTTATGAAGCTAAATCCTCGAAGGACGTGCTTTTTGTGATGCTGAAAGGGATTAAAACAAATGGTCATAACTATGTTTATTTAAGTCGGATTTCGATAAATCTAGTACCGTTCGACTCAGCTCGAAGAGCTCTTTCGAATGATATGTAATTTGCCATAAAAAGTTTAAAAATCGAAAAAAATAGAAAGGAAAAAAAGGGGGGGGACCAGCCTTGGAATTACCGAGATTTTCTATTTTGCTTCCGAATTCCGGCAAAATAGGGACTTTTCGTGATCAGAGGTCCCTTGACCCCTTTCTTTCTCTCTTGATCTAAATTATAATTTTTTAAAGCTGAGAACCAAAAATTAACAAAAAATTCATTTTCTAATTTCTATATCAGAGTTTCGACTTTTTATTTTTACCCTCCATATTGGAAAACATTACAAAAATAATTATTTTTAAGGAAAATATTTATTTTTATTCCTAAAAGTTTTTTGTTTTCATAGTCAAAAAATCATTTAAAATTTCACTTCATCAATTCCCTATAATACTTTATATTATAATAATACTGTTTCTGAATTTATTTGACAGAAAAGTTTTTATTTTATAAATAAATAAATATATTCTTACATATAATTGTTTAAAGTTGGGTTATTTTTATTTCCTAAGGTATTATACTTTTTGGTAAAATTTTGGTGTTATTATTTTTTATAAAATGCCAGGTAGGTTGTGAATAAAGATCTTTGTATGTATATGTAAATCGAGTGGAATCAGTACAGAATTTGTGTAGTACAGTGACTGAATACCTTAAGGGGACTTTCAAGATATCTTTCGATTTTTTAGAGGCTTAAACTTTTATCCATTATTAGGGTTGTCGGTTAAAGCGACAACACTATCCTTTTATTCATTTAACTTTTTTTTGAAATTTTATTAGGGTGAGTCAAAAGTTCGCGGTCACTTTGATTTTTAAATTAAAAAGTAAATAGCATTATTATGATCTATATATCAATCGAAAGCTTGATCAAAATCTAGCTTGACATGTTTCAGCATTTTTCTCAAAAATCAAAATTCGCCAAGATATTAGGGATATTAGGGATTTGGTCGGATATTGAAAATCCGTATTTTCGCGGATAAATTTTTTAGAGTAATACTCATAAAATATTCTGATTCTACACACTTTTATAACCTAAAATCAAAAAAAAGTGCATGAAAATCTTAATTTTCAACGGAGATATGAATTTTTGAAAAACGGACTTTTACTCTCATTTTTTCATATTTTAATGTTTTCTCCCATAAATTGTTGAAAAACTGCTATTTTCAAAAATTCATATCTCCGTTGAAAATTAAGATTTTCATGCACTTTTTTTTGATTTTAGGTTATAAAAGTGTGTAGAATCAGAATATTTTATGAGTATTACTCTAAAAAATTTATCCGCGAAAATACGGATTTTCAATATCCGACCAAATCCCTAATATCCCTAATATCTTGGCGAATTTTGATTTTTGAGAAAAATGCTGAAACATGTCAAGCTAGATTTTGATCAAGCTTTCGATTGATATATAGATCATAATAATGCTATTTACTTTTTAATTTAAAAATCAAAGTGACCGCGAACTTTTGACTCACCCTAATAAATATTAAACTTTTATAAAATATAAAAATTTATATATCAAAAATATATTTAAAATGCATAAAATAATAATAACGAGCATTGCATTTAACACGTTTTGGAATTTTTCTAAACAATAACCGGGTAAATAAACAAAAAATATTAAATAAAAAGCTTAGTAGAAAATTATTAAATTATGGCGAATCTTTAGATAAATGGAAAAGGAATAATTGGATAAAATATGTACATAATTGTTAAAGAAGTGGACATGACCAGAATATAATTTTTTTAATAAAATAATTTTTAAAATAAACAAAAATTTAAAATAAAAACATAAAACATTATCCCTTCAAGAATAAAGTTAGTATGTATTTGTGTTCGGCAAATGGATTTTTTCGGTACAGATACCTGGAGTACCGAAAAGTCCCAAAATCTGTTCGGTACGGTTCCGGGAGTACCGGAAAACCCGACTCGGTATTTTCGGGAGTACCGAACCGCGCCGAACACTAGTTAGTGTAGAAATAAAAAGTTTAAAGACTAGTTAAAAGAAAAGAAATATATAAATTGTTTAAAAACAAACAAACAATTAACTTTACACAATCCTTAAAAATCTATCCAACAATTCAAAAAAAAAAACAATTTTTCTCAATTAAAAACAAATTTATTCCATACAATCAAAGTTTACAATTCCCCAACTAAATGTCCACCAACACCCTCACTTCCACCAGAAGAAACAGAAAGTCTTCTCCCTCCAACACCTTTCTGTTTACTATGAACTTTTGTGTGACGCTTCCGTTCATCAGAACGAGCAAATTTGCGTCCACAAATCTCACAACAAAAAGGCTTTTCACCTGTGTGGGTACGGACATGTGTTGTTAAATGATCAGACCGGGAGAATGCCCGCATACAAATTTTACACTAAAAAAGTAATTATTGAACATTACGGTAGTCAGAAAAATATTTTTCTTACCTGAAAAGGTTTTTGTCCCGTATGTATTCTAATATGTCGAGTAAGTTCATCAGAACGTGAAAATCGTTTATCACAATTTTCAATAGGGCATTGATGTGGCCGTTCTTGTATAGGTGTTTTACTATTTCTTTGACCAACGTCAACATCTTCCCTTCCAATTTCCTCCATTTCTTCATCTAAACGAGCAGTTCGAGTTCTTCCAACACAGAGAAGACCACTCAAAGATGCCGGTCTCTGTTTTAAGGCATTCCCGTCGTTTATGGATGAAACAACCGAAAAGGTCGAACGCCTTTCTTTGGCACCATCAAAATAATTATCTGGGTGATTAAGACTAGTAGGCCCAACAGAGTGGGATTGAGCAGGAGGTAAAAATATTGGAGCAGGTTGAAATGATGGCCATTCGTTGAAAGTTGGTTCATGTTTGAAATTCTTAAATTGATATAAAATTGACTGAGGAAAATATCGTTAAATTTAAAATCTATAGTGAAGATAACAAATAATATCATTCGAAATCTAAGTATGGATTCTCTAAGTTCTGATAGTAGCACGTATAAGTCAAATGGGAGTTTGAGATATTTATGAGAATCATCTAAATTTTTAAACAAAGTCCAAAAGTTTTTAAAGGATTCTGGCAATAACTACACTTCATAATTAATATAATAAACTCTTTACCATTTGACACATTTCTCCCCCAAAATTCATTTGATGTTGATGATGAGGTGAATGATGAATGGCCTCTAAACCAGAACTTGTAGCAGTAGAGGCAGATGAATTTGGCCGCGATTGTTGTAAAGAAGAATTTGTAGTTGGGGCCATATGAACTAAAGCTGAAGTTTGGGCAGTGGAAGATACCATAGTTGGGATATTATTTTGATGGTGTTGAATTGAAGGGCAGGTTCTTTCACAACAACATTGACTTCCTAAAGCTGTAGCAGGCATTATACTACAGCTAATACTCTGATGGATCTGAAAATATTAGGGGGAAATAGAAAAAGATAAATTTAGAAATTCTCGAAGAGGGTAAAATAGAGTTGACTCTGGGGAATTATAATAATCACGATGAAGAACATTGACCTTTTTTATTTAATAAATGAGAATATGTGGGTACATTTTCGAGATAACGATCCAGATTAAAGCTCCAGTCAGTAATCTCTAAGGGAAGATCCACTATATCTGGAGGGATAAGAAATATACGTGTCTAATAAAAAACTATGCGAGTCTAACTCTAATCCAAATATAATTTAAATTAGTTACGTTATCCCATTAGTAATGGTAAGGGATAAAAAGGAAAGTAAGATATACTTAAGTTAATTTTAAATTTGAAGGTCAAGATTTGCAAGATGGGGATCTAGAAGAGAGAGTGAATAAATACAGTAAATTTTTACAAATAATTTTTGCAATAAAATATTCTTTTTATTTTTTTGATTGGAAACAAACTATCGCAACATTTTAAATTAATTTATAATAGAAAGGTTATGGTATTTATATATGTATCTAATAAATTATCACTCTCCTGTAATTATCTAATAAAACAAAAAATATTAGAAGAATTCGGTTATTTATTTTTTAAATAAAAAAATTAACTTGTTTATACCTAGGTAATGGGTATAAAAAGTTTATTAAAATGAATTTTAGAGCGTAGATCACTCACTCCCAAATTCTTAATTTATTTTTGATAAAAAATTATAATAATCACGATGAAGAACATTGACCTTTTTTATTTAATAAATGAGAATATGTAGGTAATTCTAGAATTTATTTTTTTAATTTAATTTTATAAATTAAAAAATGATTAATATTTATTTTTTATTATTATCGTCATCCCCAGTTATTTTTATTAAAAATTTAGAAAAAAAACTATTTTTTTCAGTTTCTTTTAAATATTATTGGAAAACGGAGCAGGCCAAGGCTATAATTTCGTTCAAAATTATCGAATCAGAGACGCCCTTGTATGGTTAGATGCTCCTCGACGAGCTGAATCAAAACATACCAGGACGTCCAGGATTTTATAATTTTGAACGAAGTTATAGCTCTTAGCCTCGCGGTACCTTGGGGTTATCCCTTTGAGAAGGATCCTAAATACCTGATATCTTCCAGAAGGCACATTATTAGCCATTTGTGGGTGTTTATGAATACCAGAATTATTTAAATTTTGTTGTTGTTTTTGCTGTAAATTTGTTGGTATTCCTCCTCTTTGTTGTTCATAAATTGGGCATAAATGATTATTTTGTTGTTGTTGATGGTTAGAAAATTGATTATTTAAATTATAATTTTGTTGATTATCCTTATCTGTAGATAATAATGTTGTTGTTGTTGTTGATGCTCCTCTTAGTTTTTCATCTTCATTAATATTATTATTGTTGTTGTTGTTGTTATTGTTAATCCACATAACCTTTAATTAATTTACTATATATTATTGGTGTTTATTAACTTTTTAATTCTTTATTAAGGGATTGGATGGAGGAGTAGTAAATTTAATGAGGATAATAATTGCAGATGTCTCGATATTACATACACCCTTGGGGATGGAAAAAATGTATATGGAATTGAGATGTCAAACTTCGAAAAATGTAGGTAAAATAAGAATCTGACTGTACTTGAGGTAAGTGAATTTTTTGAACTCTCATATATGCATGATTTGGCAGTGGCAACTTACCGGATTATTGGTAAGCCGGCAAAATAGTTAGTGAAAGTTTTATTAAAATAATTTTATTTTTAAATAACTTGCTTTAGTCAAATCAGGCGTTTCAGAAGCGTTAGGAGTTTTGGGGTCCAATACAGGTAAACCTTGATTTCTAGTAAAAGATTGAAGAAAATGTTCAACAATAGGCGAGAATTGGAAGAAAGAAGCACTTAAACCTTTAAAAAAATTTTTAAAAAATTTAAAATTTAATAAAATTGAAGTGAAGAGAGGAAAGGAAATAGATTTGCGCATTGAATATTCTCCTCTTCCTCTTCCTTTTTGCAAATAAAAATTTTTAAGAAGGGCGGGTTATAGCCTGATAGACAATAGTCTTGACAATTACCCTTCCTATTCTCCTTCCTTAATTTTTTTGGAAATTAAAAATAAATCTTTAATCGATTTTAGATATTTTTTGCAAAATTTTCAAATAATTTTATTTAAATTCCAGAAGAAATCCCATAAATCGCCAAGTAAAAAATGAGTTGATTACTCTCCAAAACTTGTAAGTTACCTATTAAAACTTTAATTTTCAACGCGAAGTTTCACGCAAATTTTGGAGGAGTCTTTATTAAATATAAAAATTGCAATTTCGCATTTTTTTAAAATAATTTTTACATCTACATATTTAAAAAAACCTTAGTAACAAAAATGTAAAAAATATTTATAAAAGAATGCCAAAATGTGTATTTATTTAATTATATATTTTAAATGATTAATTCGGCGAATATAGAAAAAAGGGAAAATTTAAAAATAAAAATATTTTTTTATTTATTATATATCGGTCAATATTTCTTTTTTAGAAAATAAAATCCATTTTTGAAAATAAATTTATTTTTTTAATTACCTGGAGAATTCAAGTTTTGAGCATTTAACGGCAAATTTGTAGATATTGAACCTTTTATTTGAAATTGCAATTTTTGGTCAGTTTTTGATGTATTGACTGATTGAGAGGAATTAATTGAAGTTTCGGAACTGCAAGTTTGCCCATTCAATGATTTTCCATTCTGGCACATTTTTGTTGAACAACGGTGGTCACATTCAGAAAGGGAGTTTGAGGATGAACCTTTAGAGGGAAAAAACAAGTCTAAATATAAGTTTCGACCTCATAAAAATTATTTAAAGGTGCTGGACTTTAAATGGATAATATATGTATGTAGTTGACCAATTTAATGTTAATAAATATGTATAGTCAAAAGTTTATCGTGTATAAGCATTAGAAAAACAAAAATTTTGTAAGTTAAAGGTTGGAGTTTAGATCGATCAAAATTGGAATTAATATTTGAAAAATCTCGGGATTTTCTAATGAAATCTTGTCTCGGCCCGAGTATTTTGAGTATGTCATGATAAAAAATTATCCATGAATAGAGGTTTGACTTAATTAAAATATGAAAATATTAAAACAAACAGTTAGAAGCATTGCAGGAACATGAACATTGATATGACTGATCAGAGTTGGATGGATGTTGTTGATGAGGGGCAGAGACAACAGTTGAGGTTATTTCGATGTTTGCTACAAAAATTAATTGAATATTTAATCAAAACTTCCATAAAATCTCCAAATTAATTATTACACCCCCCCCTCTCTCCCCCCCTCCCCTCCAATTCATTCTCTTTATTCTAAACACCTGTTAATAAAGGCTCGTGATCGCCAAAAAAAGCTTGTGGATGTTGACTTTTTGGTGTAGCAGAATTCAAACAGAGGGGAGTATTTAATTCGTCAATATGCATTAATTGCTGCAAAACAAAGTTTTGCAAAAAATTTTTAGCCAGAAATAATTTAATTTTAAATATAATTTCTAATTTTAGCTAGCGACTTTTCCTTTTTTTAACTTAAAATTAGCAACAGAGGGAGAGAGCATTGAATATAATAAATTACCTAATTCAATTATTGACTTTCCTCATTATAATAAGAAAAGATTTATATTTAGAGAAAAAATCAATTTTTAAAATTAAAAAATAGAATTTTAAAGGGAATCCGGGATCGGATTGCTCGACGGCACTTCTGGCCCTGATGTTTTTAAAAGAAACTAAAGTCCCGAAAGTGATGTTTTATCGATATTTTAAACATATGTATATTTAAAAAATTTGTTTTCACCTGTAAAGCTAATTTTCATTATATGTAATCTGATTTGCAATGGTTTGCAAATTTTGCCTGATTTATATTCGTCTTAAAGAATTAAATTTGAGAATGTTTTTTACACCAATTTTTGTGAGACATTTTAAATATTACAGGCAGTCAATGTTTTTAATCGACTGTTTTGCTGTTCGATTATCTGTATTTTTTTCCACAACATTTTTTTCTCGGAACATATTAGGGCTTAGGAATTAATTAACTTACCTTTACATAATTGTAAATTTTTTTTTCATTGAAAAAAACTTTAACAAAAAAGGGAAAAGTCGCTCGAATTTTTAAAAACAAATTTTTAAAAATTTTATTTTTCTCTTACAGAAGACTTTGAACTAGCAGAAGAGTTAGTAGGTGATGTAAGTAAAGCTGTAGGTGTTCTCAAAGTATCGGGTATTTTGGGTGTTGGAGTTTCTAAAAAACAAATTCCATTGGAAAACAAAGTTGCAGCACTCATCGGTGTTTTAATTCCTCCTCCTCCATTTTTACAATTTAAAGAATTATTAAAATGTAAACAACATCCATTATTATTTAAAGAATTATTTCCTCCATTATTATTCTCAATTTTAAGTTCTGGGACATTTGGAGATTTTTTTGTTGAAATAAATGCTGACGTTGATATTAAAGTTTTGTTTTGAATTGGGGAAGTTGGGGAAGTTGTTGAAGTATTTATTGTTGAAGAAGAGGAAGAGGAAGAAGAAGAGGTGGAAGAGGGGGGAGGAGGAGGTGAGGAAGGTAATAATGGTGTTGTAGTTATAGTACTAGATGCCATAACCATAATATATTTATTTAAAAAATAAATGTGTTTTTGGCACGTCTAGTAATTTTTGTAAAAATAATTTATTAAATTGAAAAGAAAAAAAGAAGGAAATGAGGGAGAAAACCAAAAGTGAATTAAAAAATTATTTTTAATAAATTAAATTAGAGGAAGGGGATTATAGAAATAAAAAAAGTGTTAAAGACACGTTTGTAAAATCGAAAAAAATTGTAAAAAATATTTTTGTAAAAATATTCTTGTTAAAATTTAATTATAATTCCTCGATAAATTTTGTAATTTTTGAATCAAGGAATAAAAAATCTCAACATTTTTCTAAAAATATACGAGAATAAATAATTAAATTCTCAAAATAAAGTTTTAAATTAAATTTTAAAGGAAATATTTTTATAATAAATTTAAGGAGTGAAAGTAATTTAAAAAATAATTTTCTTAAAAAAATTCTTTAATGGAGTCAAATAAAAAATTTTTAAACAAAAAATATTTACATAAAATAAAAAAGGGTGGGAACTTGCAATTTTTAGATAAAAATAAAAATTAAGTAAATGTTGTGGAAAGAAAAAATATAAAAATATTTAGAAAGTTTTGTTAAGTTAAATGATATGGAAACTTTAATAATAAGAGTAGGTAATGGAAAGCTTTGCCTTAAAAAGAAAAAAAGAAACTAAATAAAAATATTATTTTATTTAATAAAATATAAAATGAGAGCCCAAATAAAAGTGTAAAAAATTAGAGAATGATAAATTGAATGAATTATAAATTGTGTTTATTTGTAAATAATTTAATAAGCATTTGAATAAATATTTAATTATTATATTAATAAAATGAATTTTTAAAGAGAAAATGGCAGGCAGATATAAATATTATTTAGTATATTAAAATAAAAGGTGAAGAAGACCCGGCAATTTAATGAGGAAACTGAAGTAAGATTAAAAAAATAAAATCCAAAAATTCGTGAAGAATCCGAGAAACCTAGATAAATGATTATTTGAGTGTTTACATAATTTCTGCAAAAAAATATACCTATTTACGTCAGGATTTCCAAAAATAGGGAAAGAATTTTCTTAAAAGGAATTATTATTTATGATCTAGAAAAAATATAATAAATAATCTCCCTTCCGTCGAGAAAGCAAAAGTAAAATACTTAAATAAAATGTGTTATCGGTATACAAATAATGTGCAACTAAAATAATCAGCTTATTAAGGAAAAAATTTGAGAAATTTTGTTTAAAGAAAAATTAACTAGAAAAATTGAAAATAATTTTTAAATTAAAGTCTACTAATCCATTTACTGTAAATTTAAAAACTTTTTTTTAAAGCTAATCTTGTTATTGAGAAAAAAATTTAATTTAAATGACGTAACCGGATGTTTATTTGAAATTTTAAAGAAATTTTTAACTAAGTAAAAGCAAGGAAAGTAGTCATTAGTATTTTTTAATAAAAATGAGAGAATTTGCTTTAAATAAAAGGAAATATTATAGTAATATTAATTTTTATTTCCTTCTTTTACAAAAAAAATAAAAGAAAATAAACTGGCACTAACGTAATAATAGTAAAAAGAATTATTTTCTAAAAGAAAAATATTTTTTTTTGAATGAAAAAGAAAAAGTAGAGGAGAAGAGATCCTTGGTCAAGAGCAGCGCAAAATAAAAATTGAAAAAAATTTTTTGAAGAGAAAAAGCCAAGAAAGGTGTGACGCAAAAGAAATATTTTTAAAAACAAAAATGAGAGGAAAAGCAGCTAACGGATGAGGGGAGAGTAAATAAAGGATTGGCCTAGCTTAATCAATAAACGGGACGGAAAGGTAAAAAAATAGAGATGAGAACAAAAGACATAAGAAAATAAAAAAAAAGAATTTCTTCCTCTCATTCACGCTAACATTTTTTGTTTTACGTTCCTTTGCACTCTTTCCTTCACAATCCTTTTCCGCTTTATCGTTGGATATTTGAAGGTTTTCGAAAAAAAAGCCTCAAACAAAACACATGGCACATTTAATATTAGAGAAGGAAAAAAGAAAAAGAGACAATTTACGGAAATAATAATTCACAAAAAAATTGACAATTGCCTAGTAAATACTGACAGATTTTTCAGTCTGATTTGGTGATAGGATTGAGAAGAACCCAATTATTTATTAAACTGAAAATTAGGAAGCTGTGTTGTTATTTTCGTAAATGAAAGACTGTGGATAGCAAGATAATTTAATAAAAAGTAATTCCGGATTTAGGCATTCTTTAGGAAAAAATTCTTTCCTTCGCAGTTTGTCTCACAAGTTTTAGAATATTATTAAGCAATTCCAATTCGAAATAAATATTTTCAGAAATTTTTAAAAATATGTAAATATCAGGGGTGTGCCGAAAATGATTTTAAAAAGCGAAAGGCGAAAGATAAAAGGCGAAACTCGCACACCCTTGGTACATATTTAATTATTTCAGTGAATTGTCCAAGCAAGAAAAAGCATAGAGGAGAGAGAATTTGACAGCCTAGCTTCTAGTGTATATTCTTTCTATAGATTGTTGTTTAGCTAACAAATAAATATAAATTTATGTTAGTAGCTAGTACTTTTTTTCATTTTAGCTGTCTCTAACACAATTTTATACATTCAAACCCCGCCTCTTTTAAGCATTTTAAAATTGTCTTCTCTCTAGTATTTTCTTTAAATTTTTTTTTGTAGTTATTCTCATTCACGTCATTTATATATTCTTTAACAATTCTCCTTCAGTTTCAGTTGATTGCTTTTCTCATTTCTCTCTCTTTTTGCTTAAAACCCTCCTCTTTACATCTTCAACTATTTCGTTTTTTTGTCAATTTCTTTATTATTTTTTCCTTCTTTTTTGTCTGTCAAGAGTAGAAAAACTGAGTAAAAGTGTTCTCGACGTTCGCACACAAAAAATATATTAAAAAAATATTTTTAAAAAGCTTTCTTTATATCCAAGACATTCAAAGCTTTAAATACATAGAGAGGGAAAAGAAATTCTTTCCTCTTAAAAAATAAAAGAAGGAATTAAAGTAAAAAAGGGATCTTTTAATTCAAGAATGTCACATACAACCTCTACCTAATATTATCCTGAAGGGATCAGGGTTAATTAAAAAGTGAAAAAGAGATAAATATCGAATTCAAACATGGAGTGAAAAGTATATAAAATTTTGATGAAATGAAGAAAGATATGAGAGTGATAAAGAAATTTAAAGTTAACTATAGTAGTTTTAATATAGAAAGGTATATGTACTTCAAAAATAATTATCAGTCAGTATCAAAGGAATTTAGTTACAGAAATAATTTAAGTGTTTAAATTAATTAATTTAAAATATTTTATAAAAAGAATTGAGAAAGAGAAACAATCCTTAAACCCCAAATTATTAAAAATAGATTTAAATCCTCTTTCATTTATATTTTCATTGATCTTTAGAGGAATTTTTCAGAAATTTTAGATAAAATCTAATCAGAAAAATTATAAATATTTTTAGTAAAGTGACAAAAAATGTCCCAAAAGTTTTAAATATTAAAAGCAAATATATTAAAGAATGATTATTTTAATTATGATTCATATTTTTTTTGAAAATTATTTTTAAGAATTTAACATTTCAAACTTTTTAAAAATTAAATTTTTGTATTTAAAATTTTTAATTTTAAAAATTCTGTTGCAAAGTATAACGCAAAGCGCGAAGAAATTTTTAGAAAAATGCAAATGCAAAGACAGTTACATCCAAAAAGTCAATTTTTTAAATTATTCCCTTTCAATAAAATTTCTATGGCTATTTAATAGACCAAGAAAATGAATGAATTGGAGGCTTTATTAAATTTTTTTAAATAATATGATTTATCCCCTATGATTTTGTTTAAAGAGGGTTTTTCGAGAATGATTGGGATTAATTTTAAAAATCCACGAATCCATTTCCGGATATAATCAGGTATCTAAAAATTATTGCAAGTTACCTAGGTATATCCCTTTCCCTCTAAATAAATTTTCTAACCAAACATTTTATGGTTTTATACTGACATTTGAATAAATTACAAAAAATTACTTTACCTTTACTTAAAAGAGTTGTTGGAGGTATTCTTTCTTCTTTAATATTTTCTATTTGTTTTTGTTGTTCTTCCTCAGCTTCTAATAAACGCATTCTGTAAGTTTCAATTTCTTGAAAAACTAATAAACGTCTTTTAATAAATTCTTTATTTGTTGTTCCTTCATTTGTTGTTAATCTTCTCTGATTATTATTAAATAAATAATTAGAATTTTGAGATGAGGAATCAAAAGAGGCAGATTTTTGTTTACATAATTTGTTTTTTGTTATTTGACCTTAAATGTTTTTTTTGGATTAAAATTAGATTAAATTAAAAGAGATTAGTTACGAATATTTTTGTATTATACATAGAGTTCAGCAAAAGTTTAACCACCGGGCAGGACCTGCGACCTCCTCGTGGTTATTGCTAGGTGCTTTCGCTCAACACATACAGGTGCTCTACCACTGAACTACTGGGACATCGACTAATGCTTTCTCTTATCCTTCCAGATCGTTTAACCACGTCTAAGCGTTCTAAATGCTCTAGGTGAATCTTCCTTACATTATGAAATCATGAAAAAATTTTTTTGAGAGGAAAGGAAGTTTAATTTCAAAATTAGTATTCACTTCACGAGTTTGTACCATTCCAATATTCGTCTTAAATTTAAAAGTTACCAGAATTAGAAGGTTGTTGAGTAAAAACGGGAGTTGAATTACTAGACATTGAAAGAGGATTAGATAAATTTATTTGTTGTCGTTGCATCAAAGAGGGGGAAAATTTAATTAAAGCTTCTTCTTCTTCTTTTAATCTTTTATTATTATTTAATAATTTATTTTTAAAATTTCTTTTAAATTCAGAATCATGTCGACGTTTATTTGTTATTAATGTTTGTTGCAAAAATGGTTGGGAAGAGGAGGTTGTTGAAGGAATAATATTAGTATTATTAGAGTATTCGCTAAATTATAAAATATAAAATTATTGAAATTTTCAAAAAAAGATT